AGAGAGAGAGAGAGAGAGAGAGAGAGAGAGAGAGAGAAATGGTTTCATTTACAAATCCAACTATTAGTACAAACCAATCTCAACTGTTCATTTAATCTAATGAATATCTAATTCAATAAATACCACGATTGTTTCATAATATTAAACATTGATCATAATAAATGAAATATGATAATTTTCTATAAATATCCAAATTTTAATAAATAAACTCTTATTATTTCTATACACATCTCAATTAATTGGTTTTTATTATTTGTACTAATGGTTAAGTTTGTAAAATATCGCGTGTATATATATATATACCTTTTTTAAAAAACTATTTAAATCATTATATCACTAAAAACCAATGAATCATTTGTTATTTTATATATTTTTTTTATCTATTACTAGAATTTGACGTAATAATTAACATATATTTGTTTTAGAACAACTTAATTCATAATATAAACCTGTTTATAAAACAAAAATTACATGTGGAAAAAATTCACGTAATAAATTAAATACATATGAAATATTTGATTGTTATTGAAAAGATTTTATTTACCACATGATATCAATTCGAATATTTTGTTGGTGATATTAATTTATATGTCCATTTTTTGTAACTAAAAAAGAAATTAAATATAAAAATTCTGGTAAAATGAAAATCTCCCGTCGTTTAAGTGTTCGGTGGAAGAGTTCGTTCGATCTGTGATACCGGCGAATCGACGAATCTCGCTGGATCTCTGGATCGGTGCTGATGGAGTTTCATGGCGTCGCTCTCCGCCGTGTTTTGGAGCTAGTATTCTGCATCACCGGTATTTGGTCGGCTTATATATATCAAGGCGTTCTTCAAGAGACCGTGTAAGGCTTAATTAATTTCTAGCTATGATCTCTTAATTTCTTCTGTTGATTTAATGTATTATGGTGATCTATCTGAGTGGTTCGTACTGTTAACATTTAATGAAGTTTTGAATTTATAACTTGTAACAATTGAATTGTAATGATTGGTGTTTAATTTCCATGGAGTTTTTGAAAGTAATGCAGTCAAGTAGGTTTAACCTACTTTTGGTTGAATTTATGTTAGCCGCTGGTGATTTGTTACAATTGAAGTATAGAATGATCATTACATCATATGATGCTAATTTTACGATCTACTGGAAGTATTATATAATCTGTTGTTACTCTAAATTTATGATTGATGGCTTCAAAATGAACATATGGGAATTGCAAGGCTATGTTGAGTTATGAGTTATGACAATGGCAGGGTTTGGGTTTCTTGAGTGAAGTAACTCCGGCAAATGTCTTTGTAATACTAATGATCATCCTATACTTCATTTGTAACAATGCACCAGCTGCTAACATAAGTTCATTGTTAGTTTTAGCCAAAAGTTGGTTAAACCTACTTGAATCGAATGCATTACTTTTCAAAAACTTAATGGAGATAAAACATAAATCATTACAATTCAATTGTTACAAGTTATAGATTCAAAACTTCATTAAATGTTAAAAGTATGAACTAATTCGTGAACCTTGTGATATAAATTATAATCCTAGCAGGCTAGCTACCCCATGGATGTAGGCAAATTGCTCAGCCATGTAACACTGTGTACTATTTTTGCTTTGGGGGTTATTGTGTTTGCGTGAGAGTGTGGTCATGAATTCTCACAGTAGCTTGCTTTACTTTTGTCTTTTAGAGTAATAAAACTTGTTTACAGGTCTTTGAAAACATGATAGAGGTTTTTATTTTCTTTTGCTTAATATTAGTCTTTATTACTGTTTGCCAGGTCTACAAAGAGATTTGGCCCTAATAAGGAGAGGTTTGAACATTTGGCATTCTTAAACTTGGCACAGAGTGTTGTTTGTTTACAATGGTCATTCATGAGTGAGTATTTCTTGTGTTTGTTTATTTTCTTTTCTTCTTATGATTTGAAGGTTGAGTGACTCACATTTGTAGCCTTTAGTCTTTTAAAGCTCAATTTAGTTACCAAAATCGCAAAAAATGAACAATATGCATGATTTTTTTTTTAACATTTCCCCCTGCAACTGCAACGACTTCTTTCAAAGCTAGGGCCTGTTTGTTAACAGCTTAATAAGCTTAATGGGACTCGCAGCTTATTCGGTCAGCTAAACATGACTATTTGGTAGTGGTTTAGTGATATAGAAAGTGGCTTATTCGGTAAGCTTATAGGGGGGAGCTTTATGCTGAAAGTCAAGTATTTTCCAAACTTGCCCCTTCCAATTAAAAAACACGCTCTTTCCATATATGAAAAAACTCTCCCAATCTATACAGACAAATTAATTCATACAATCAACTTTATTCATACAAAACTTAATGGAAAACCAACCAACTAACCCCTTAAGTACAAGCTTATAGTTGCTCATTTTTTCCAAGCATGGAGTTTTTCTGATATTTCTACAACTATGATGCTCTTTTCTTTATGAAAACTAAAGTCAGACACATGGTTACAAATGTTGGTCACTCTGTCTTAGATAATTAATATACTGACAGTTTCTGCTTATTGGATAGTGATAAAGCTTTGGGGTCATGGTCGTGGTGGTCGTGCCCCGTGGTGGAGTTATTGGAGTGCTGGAATTACAAATACCATCGGCCCAGCTATGGGGATTGAAGCTCTAAAATATATCAGTTATCCTGCTCAGGTACACATGTTATCCATTTATGACAAGTCTTCTATCAGTACATTGATTCAAGTTTCAACAGTATAAGAAATTAAGTGCTCTTGTAACAAATGCATTTATTTTTTGACAGTCTTTAGTCTGTTAAAGGCCAGTGGAACACTACTATAATATACATCCAGCTGGGCTTGTTCAAGTGGTTGAGATTTTCTCAGCATAGCTAGCCTCGAGGTCCCGAGTTACCCTTAGGTATTGCTGAGTGAATTTCCAAGGGGTCCTGGTTCTGCATTCAAATCTCGCACAGAAGAAGTCCTTTGAATAAGACTCCACACTGCTTGTTTTTAGTGCTGAAACAGCCGTGGTTTTTGATCACTGATCAGATCTGAGTGAAACATTCGTAAAATTTTAAAACCGGGAGGAAAACTAGAACTAGTGTTTTGCTTTGAAAATGTTTTTCAGCTTGCATCATGTGATATCATAATATCATATATCCTAGCATGAGAGAAATGAATTTGTGCAGACCATTTCAATTAGCTTTATGATGTTTTTAATTGGGTTATAAATTTGTTCTTGTTCCAGACAAAATTCCATATTAATTGTCTTTCTATTTTCCATGGTTTCTAATCTTTTCCTTTAAAGAAAATGTAATACATAAGTCACTTCTGGTATTCACCTTTCCATTTTCACTTGCAGGTCCTGGCAAAATCCTCAAAAATGATTCCAGGTGAGTTGTAGCTTGATTTGGAATGACCATTTACTGCATTAACAAAGTTTCAATTTACGAAACTAATCGAGCAAGCAATTGCATTATGTTATTAGTTAATTGTTTTTACTGGTCCTCTCAAATATGGTTCTTTTGCTTGCACCTGCACCCTCAACCCCTAAAATTGGCAAGAGATTACTGTTGTAAATTGTAATCAAGTGATCAATATTTGTGATTATTGTATTTGGGTGTTTACAACTACAATCGCGTTTTTGAAAACTAAAGTCAAGTATAATGGTTATAAATGTTAATCACTTCTCTGATTTAACACTATTCTCGCCAATCGCCATCCTCTTCCACATGCACACAGATCATTCCGGTACCATGATTACAAATGTTAATCACTCTTAAAAATTGTCTGTATACAGTGATGCTGATGGGGACGCTTGTTTATGGTATTAGATACACTTTTCCGGAGTATCTTTGCAGCCTCCTTGTTGCTGGCGGGGTGTCCATCTTTGCATTGGCAAAGGTGAATATTTCATTGGATTCGAGGGAAACGTCATTATAGTGAATGTTCCCCTATTTATCGTTCTTAGTTTACCCCTGCATCAATTTCTTTACTATGTTGCATATGCAAATCAGTTTCACTTCCATTTTCACCGAATGTAATGCCTTTATTTCACCCAGACTAGCTCGAAGACCATAAACAAGCTGGCGAATCCTAATGCTCCACTCGGATATGGACTTTGTTTTCTGAACTTGGTGTTCGATGGTTTCACAAATGCCACACAAGATTCAATCTCAGCAAGGTACTCTTTCAATAAACTTTTATATTTCCATCCAGCATTAAAACTAAACCCTCTCCAAATTATTCAGAAACTCTTCAAAATTTTCATCAAACATTTTCTATGGTCATTTGGTAAAAATTGACCTGGTAAATGCGTCTTCATGGAAACTACCTTTTTACCCTTTGACTTAGAGGACGGGGCTGCATGCATGATACATCCCACCCCCAATAGGACTATTTAGCTCAACCACCTTCTCCGGAAGCTCCTTTGCAGAATAACCCTTTAGTATATTTCTATTTTTTTAACGGGAGAAGACTGTTTTAAATGAGGGCAGGTTGTTTTGAATCTGGCGCAGGTCAGGTAAAAAGATTTTTGAGTAAATTAGGTTTTTAGTCCCTGTGGTTTTTTAAAATTTGTAATTTTCGTCTGTGTGATTTAGAAATTGTGTTTTTAGTCCCTATGGTTTGTAATTGATTGTTATTTGTAGGGGTGCTCACGGCCCGGGTTGATCGGTTTGGAGCCGTTTTAACAACTCAACCCAATGTTGGCGGTTTGAAAATTCTCAACCCAACCCAACCCAACCCAACCCAAACAAAAGTTCAACCCAACCCAACCCGTTCGGGTTGATCGGGTTGTGTTTAAACAATGTAAAATCACATAAAAATAAAGGAAACTTTCCTTTGAAATACGACCGACCATTCAAGATAATATGCAAGTTCATCAAATATTTAGATATTACAATAAAAATGTTTAAGCCAAATGATAATACATCAATCAACAACAATAGTTTTAGACATTTCCAACACCGATGCTTTCGCTTTCTTGACGTTGAGGTTGGTCATGTCATGATTGTCATCTACAATTCAAAGCTAAAGTTAAGGTCGGGTTTATCGGGTTGTCGGGTTGGTCGGGTTTTTTTGGGCCTGACCCGATTCCAACCCAATAAGGTCGGGTTGGATAATATTTTTATCGATCATGCATCGGGTTACCTTGGGTTGGGTTTTTTTTTTAAAATTCAGGTTGGGTTGGTCGGGTTCATCGGGTTCATCGGGTTTTTGAGCACCCCTAGTTATTTGTATCTTATGATTTACAAATTATTGTTGTTTTGGTCCCTATAGTTTATAACTTTTTACTATTTCTTTGTACTTTAAAGGTAGGAATTAATCCAATGACTAAATAACAATAAATTGTAAACTGTAAGAATGAAAATTACAATTTCTAAACCATAGAGTCGAAAATTGAAATTATTAACAAACCACAGGGACAAAAATTGTGATTACCTCAATATTTTGTGTTCATGTTTTTAATTGGAAACTCATTTTATCTTCGTTTATCCAAAGCACCCACCTGCCTCTGGTGGGTTAGAACATCTCCAAAAGTTTTTCAAAATGGAGAATCAAAGTTAAAGATCTTTAAAAAAAATGCATTTACCTCCAACAAATTCTTTATTTTGGAGATTATATCATTAATTATATTATTAAATGATTTTATACATTTAATTAAATATTATTTATGTCTCATAAACATTTCATTTCAAGGTTTCTTATTGATGAAATATGATAAAAGATCATCACTCTCATGGTAATCATTTTTGAAGAGTTCTCTAAAAATTTGGAGAAATTTACACCATCTCTCCTACTTTCTCCATTTTGGGAATCCTTGGAGCAAAAAATTGCCCAAATCCCCATTTTCTTCATTTCACATAAATTGTTGGAGATGCTCTTATATTAGATTAGTTCAATTTTGGTGGTTTTAATCTTATAAATGCATTTGTGTATTGTTTTAGGTACCCAAAAACAAATGCATGGGATATGATGTTAGGAATGAACTTATGGGGTACCATTTACAACTTGGTTTTCATGTTTGGTTTGCCTCAAGCAAGTGGATACCAAGCAGTTCAATTCTGCAAACAACACCCTGAAGCAGCCTCGGATATTTTATACTTTTGTTTATGTGGCGCTGTCGGTCAAAACTTCATATTCTTTACCATTAGCCGGTTTGGTTCGTTAACTAACACCACCATCACCACGACTCGAAAGTTTGTCAGTATCGTGGTTTCATCACTTCTTAGCGGAAATCCCTTATCACAAAAGCAATGGGGGAGTGTTGCCATGGTGTTCAGCGGGTTATCATACCAGATTTTCCTTAAACGGAAGAAACCAAAGCGGATGAAGAAGAAGAAGAGGAAGACCGGTTGATAAAAACATTGCTGGTCTAAACTCCATTTTTAGGTACGCCATTTTTTCGGTAGCTAGTTAGAATATTTTGAATCCTATAGATGCATTAGTTCATTATTTAGTAGAAGGGTTGGGTTTCGGTGAGAATGGTAAGAAGGGACCTCCACCCTTGGATCAACTCTAAAAAGATTTACTGAGATGCACCGGATCAGTTCCTGTATCAAACGCAATTCATGGGATGGGGTGAGATTAAAAGTGATCAAGGACCCAAATCTCTTCTTACTCTTCTCACATTAACTCCTATTCTCACACGATTCTTCGTCTTTTAGTAGAAAAATGAAAAAAAGATCCATTAAAATTGTTCATAACATTCCCTTGATGGAGAGAGTAATAGGACACTTAGAGCAATAATGCTATAACTAACTAGTTCCCACTCCCATTTTTAACCTTATTATCATATGGTGATCGTTGGAATCTCAAGTTTATAGGGGATGTATTTTGAATGTAGATGTGTTTTTATGTGTTTCTGTTTCTGGTGACAGTTAAATTTTGTATTTTTTAGATTACTGTTTGAGTAGATTACGTTTTTTTGTCCCTGTTGTTTATTAAAATATATGATTATCGTCCTTATGGTTTGTAAACCATTATTATTCGTTCTTTTGGTTTACAATTTATTGTTGTTTCGGTCCATAAGGACAAAAATCATAATTTCTAAACCACAGGGACAAAAGTGGTAATTCACTCTTACTATTTTCTTCAAGTTCAAAGTATTGTATATATAATTGTTTTCATAAGTTACTTCTAAAGTATATATATATATATATATATATATATATATAGTTGCACTCAAAAAAACTAATATGATATAGCCCATAGCAAGTGGTTGATGTAATAACCCCTTGAATCAACTTAAAATCTTGATGAATCCAAATGCATATAGTTGGTATATGTGTATACCTTTTGAATTTTGGTTGCATGTATACTAACCTTGGAGGGAGGGTTGGGCATTTATGTACATGATACCGTTATGTAGAGGTGGGTAGACTTGATATCATGTGAAAGCAAACTGTTTTCATGAGACCACATAAATAACACTAAACCTTCACAGTAAAACGTTGTAAATCTTTTACTTTTACAGTGTTTTGTTGTGAAGGTTCAATGTTTTTTTTTTAATAATGTTTTGTTAGAAAGTTTCAGCGTTATTTTGTGGTCTCATAAAAACAAACTGGTTTTACGTGAACCCAACCCTTAGATAAGAAGGGTTGAGGACTAACTAAAAATTGATCAAGGTTATTTTATGACTGGTTAAAGATGAACCCGTTAAGGATCAATTATAACTGGTTATTTTTAAATAATTACGATATTTTACCAGCCGATTACAACCTTTTTTTTCTTTAAAAGAAAGTGAGCTACATGGTGCTCTTCCTTGTTCAACGGTATTAAAAACCCCTTGATGAAAGCGGGCTAGTCCTTATCAGTTATACATAAAGTTAAAAGACTCGGACTAATCATCCAGCGGTTACATGGTACGGTTGTGACCGGGACTAGTTACAAGTCTGGTAGTAAACGGTTTTTACCCAACTTTAACCCATCATCTAAACCTAAAATACAATAATGATGGTGAAATATCTAAAGGAGTACAAGAATCATATTTTTTATCAACCATATTTACAACTATTTTTAGATATCCCATCAAAATATTGTTAGAAGTACAAAGAAACTATTATTTTTAGGGTTGTTTGATTTTCCGTTAAATCATATATAGATGAAACTGTCTGTATGGATTAATTTGTCTGTATAAAGTGTGAATGTTTTTATTTGTGAGAGTTTTTCATAGATGGAAGAATTGTGTATTTTAATTGAGAGAGGCAGGTTTTTAAAAAAATAAAAGAACTTGGTTTTGTGCATAAAACTCTCTTTTATAGATTTACTGGATAAGTCATTTTTTATATTATCAAGTCACTATCTAACAGTCATGTATAACTAACCAAATAAGCTATGAGTATTGTTAAAATGCTAACAAACATCTAATTAATCTTTTCCGTTTAAAAGAATTCGATAGCCTTGTGTGGACCATCATCAATGCATTCACAAAAACTACACTAATGAAATAAACTTGGTCCTTAATTTAAATAATTTAGATTTACGTGTGTTTGGTTTAATTATATACTTTATTAATAGTAGAAGGGTACTCGTGTAATGTAGCGAGATATATCTCAATTTTAATGTTTCGTTTTATTCGGTCTCCGTCGATGTTATAATAGATTTTATGTGGCGTTGAAAAAACGATAGTGTTTTTATTTTTTAAATAAAATATCAATTTGAAGATATCATAAAATTTTGAAAAAAAATGTATCGATTTTAATATTTAAAAGTTTTGGTTTTCTTATGTAATTTCTTTAGTTCAATTTTATATTATAAAGTCATTTATTTTTAGTTTAACAATATAATTTTTTAATGAAGTTAATAATAAATATTTTGTTAGAATTCAATGATTGTCCTAAATATATTTTATATTTTTTATATTTAAAATGAGGCACATATCCAGTATTTGATTATGTTTATCTGCAGTTAGTTACACGAATTTAAATATGAAAATTTAATAAGTTGTACATATACACAATCTACTTGTAATCTTGAATTTTAAGTAATATGCATCAATAAATAATACTTAGAGCATTAAAAAAATGGTTTTTAAGAATTTTTGTCAAATGTTTTATAATATAATATAGATAATTAAATATCATGTTACTAGAGAACAAATCAAATATAAACCATAAAAATGTTACAAACTAATCAATTAAGATATTTATAAAAGTGATGAGTGTTTTTTTTTATTATGATTTGAATATTTATRGAAGATTATTAGAGTTTATTAATTATGATCAATATTTTATATTAGAAAACAATCCACATATTTATGGAATCGTATATTCTTCAGACTAGATAGATGGTTGATACTGGTTTTTATGGGTAAACTGTTAATCAATTAGTGGATATAAATATATCTAAAAAATAATTGTTCATGTCATCATCAAGAGTTGACTTCAACCATTACCAACCATAAATGAACCTTCAACAATGTATCATTGAACTCTCTTACATATTCCATGCTTATGCATATCAACATTAAATTTCCTTAACCTTGTGGCTTAACTCGACTACCAATAAAACTTGGGTCTTTACGGATCTTTCTCGAAGGTCATCGGTTCAATCATGCAAGGCACTAAGAATTTTCTTGTTTGTTCTCCAAGACCTCTAAGATTAATCGAGATGCATAAAAGCCAGCTCAAACACCCGTAGTTAAAAAAAACATTAAAGCCCCCTATTTTACATTTTTAATGCTAACATTTAAAAAGAATACAAATAATAAAACCCCAAAATTATTTGTTGCCATTTCATATTTTCATTGTCTTCAGAAATAAAATCTATCTCAAGACAGATTTTACAACAACAATGCAAAGTCATGGGCAAAAATGTCATTGAGATAAAAAAAAAAGATATTGGTGTTTTTTCCTCAATAGAGTTGGAGATGATCTTCCTTTGCCTTTTTTTTTAAAGGGAAATAGACTAAAATAATCGATTTTTTTTATTAAATTATCTTTTTAAGCATTTTTTTTTTGCCAATTTTTGACATCAAATTCTTATTTAGTCAAAGTTTATGTAAAGATATTATATATGCATAAAGCCTATTTTCAGATTAAAAAAGACGAAAAAAAATCATTTCCACAAATAAAGACCCTTACGCAAACTCTTCAAGGAAATAAGGATCCTTATGCAAATTTACATAATTTTTTTTTTCTGAAAATAGATTTATACAAATGCATAAAACATAAACATAAACATAAACATAAACTCTAACTAAAATATTATTTAATTAATAAATTGACTAAAAAATCAAATTAATTGAAAAAATTGATTATTTTGATAAATTTCCTTTGTTTTATAAAAATCTGAAATCACTCGCAGCTGTGGTTGAGGGCATTGGACAGTTGTTGGCCATTGATCTCAACTCTCAAGGACCCAACAACTATATATGTATATATATATATGGCTTTATTTAATACTAAAGGGAGACAGAGAGAGAGAGAAGAAAAGCATGCTTTAAAATTTGTACAAGTTTCCCTCTCTTCTCTCTTCACCTTTTCTTTGGAAACATCATTATTCTAAAGCAAATATCCCTACACTCACTTGTACCTCCTGCAACAACAGTTGTACCTCTCTCTAAATTTACCCTACAGCTGACCAACTTAAATACCCCCCAACAGATCTCCAAATCCCCCACCTTCCCCACAACACAAAAACCACCATCTTTAACCAAATTACACACACAGAAGCATGAATCTTTCATCATCTGCAAGTAAGTTTCTTGATCTCCTTATCTATGTATGTCTTTTCTGCCAATTCTTTCAAAATACATATAACTGGAAAATAAAAATTGCAAGTAACAAGAAAGATAGCTCCTGCACACAAATATCACATTCTCTAAAACCCAACCATTGTAATTTTTTATAGTGTAACAGAAAACCCTCAAAAACTGATGAACACCCTGGTAAACATTCATCTGCACGGTATGCACATATGCATAATTACTGTGCATACAAGTAATGGAAGCTGTTTTTTGTGTATCTTTAACCAAATTACACATACAAAACACAAGAAAACACACACACACACACACACACACACAGAAGCATGAATCTTTCATCATCTACAAGTAAGTTTCTTGATCTTCCTATGTATATTTTGCTGCCAATTGTTTCAGAATATACAAGCATACATATATATATATATATAATTGGAAAATGAAAATTGCAAGTAACAAGAAGACAGCTTTTGCACACAAGAATCACATTCTCTAAAAACCAATGATTGTAAATTTATACATTATAATAGGAAAAAAAAACTATATCAAGAAAAAGAAACTTATATCATAACTGCTATTCTACACACACTAAAAGAAACAAAGAACTGGAGTCCAACTAAGGTGGTTGAGCCTCCTTACTCACTTCTATGCTTCTACTACTACTTCCCCACTTTCCATTGTGGGGGGTAATATTGTAAATTACTATAATCACACTCTGTAAAACCAAAATTATGTTCTGTGCAAGATTTGGCATATTTTGAGGCCAAATGGTTGTTATGAGGGGAATTATCGAATACCCGTATTCGAAATCCTCCAAAAATGAACAAACGAAAAACAATACAACTCAACAAACAAACAAACTGGAGATCTATGCTAGAAAAAGCAGAATATGCTGTTAGATCTACTTGTAGTTCCAGAATGTACCTGAACATTCTAGCGTTGAATGCAGATCTTGATCAAACCCTTTTGTGTAAAAAATCAGGCTGAGATGACTGCAAATCCTATGAAAAAAGTGAACCACGAAAGAGGGTGAAGAAGAAAAACTCTACATGTGCTCAAAACTCGGGATGTGGTAGAAGTAGTAGTTATAATGAGGTTTTGAAATCAAAGGCAATGAAGAAGAGCCCTTTTGCAGGGTGGTGGTTGTGAGGTTCTGGTGCCAGGCTTGACGGGCGGTGACTCGATTCCAAGCGTTTTTAGAAGGAAGTTCCTTTCCTGATAAATGTATACAAAAAATAAATCTGGTCAGCATTCACATACATTAAAGGGTCTGTTTGTTAGCAGCTTAATGAGACTCGCAGCTTATTTGGTGAGTTATACATGACTGTTTGGTAGAAGCTTAATGATATAGAAAATGGCTTATTCAGTAAGCTTTGTGCAGAAAGTCAAGCTTTTTCCAAACTTACTTCTCCTAACTAAAAAAAAGCTCCTTCCACTTAGCTCGGGTTAATGCTTTTTAGATCTCTGGCGGCTAGCAAGTAGGTTCACCTATTTTATTGAAACACCGTTGTTAATTTGCAGTTTCTTATTTAATTGAAATAGCCTTGTTGATTTGGAGTTTCTTGTTTGTTTCCCATCATCATCAATAACTCAGAAGTATGCATCACTGCTTCTGGCATGAGAAGCATCAAATGTCTTAAAAAGTCTCTGCTCAGTTGAGTAGCCTATGTTATAACTTTTCTTGCATGGGCTAACCACTCTTGACTGTGTCATAAAGAGTTTTTTTCTGAATAACTATAGTACCTGCATCAACTACACATCAAAGATTCACATATGACACAGTTGATCAGCATGCTGTTTCATTTTCAGCTCTACATATGATGAAGGAGCATGTTAGAGGCTAAAGTCAATTTACAAGCCTAAGCTTTATATCACCAATTCAGGTTTTAAAGTGAAATTCCCACAGGATCGTAACATTATCAACAAAGTTATCATAATTATCATTGTCTACGTTACCTTTTGTTGTCATGTTATTAGCACTCAACTATTCTTTAAAAACCCATGGAAACCACATCCAAACGGGTAAAACTTTTGCCAACCCACTCATTGACACAACCATGTACCTAAGTGTAGAATATCAAACTCAACACGTCTGTATTATCACAAGCAAGTGTCAACCGTTGGTGATCTTTCCATGACAGTTTGTTACTCAAGTGTTGATCTAAAAACATCTTAGTCCTCTATGCTTCAATAATGCCACCATAAACTGTTCTGAATTTAGGTACAGATCATTTTAAGATATTCTTGTGCTTCAAAATAATGAAGATACTAAATGAACTTACACTTTCTGAAAATTGAGGGCTTGGAATTCCTGCTGCCAATGATCTGAACAACGGAGTTACTTGAAGTGGGGAATTGAACTCTGAATTTGGCAAGGGAAATATAGCTCCAACATCATTGTCAAATTCATCGCAAGAAGCTAAAAGAACTGTAACATAAACAAAGCACAGTCTATCTCAGAGCTGCCAAGATGATAACAAAGTAATTGACACCAAGTCTTCACCCAATAYAGCAGAATTTACCTTGGTTTGTTGTTGAGTCRGGTATCATTACATTTTTACCATTAACAATGCTAGTTGGCTGGATAACTTGGGTTGTTTGGGGTTCAACTTCACACAACCCCTCTTGAAGTGGTTCCATTTTCTCAATCACTTGGGAGAGGACAGTTGACCCTGTACTGTACTCGGAACTGTCAGGGGATCCCTGATATAAATCAGGTTGTCTGCACAAATGAATGGTTTAAGTATTTTGTGCAGGAATATTAACCATGCAAAGTGAATTCCAAGTAGTCCCATATCTACTACCTCCAGGACTGTTGGCTGCCTCCGTCACAACTTTTTATGTCCTCTACCAGATCTTTGATGTTCTCAAGTTGAAAATCTATATCAGAAACGTTGAATCCAAGCACATCACTTCCTTTGTTTTGCTTGAGAAAATCTTGAACAGCCTGAATACAGAATGATAGAATGTAAGACTTCTGTTGGTAATAATCAACAGCAATGGTTCAATTTTTTCTCTACAGAGTAACCTACAGTTTGATKAACACTAAMTGTAGCTATGATGTCATCTTTTTACATTATCACATCATATTAAACATGTTTATTAATGTTGAAAGTAATTTACATAAAGAAATTGATTATCATACTGAATAAACACCATATGTTTTTCAACAAGATAATTACACTATAGGGTATCATGAGAAATCGTTTCACCTTGCAAGCAGTTTCATAACTCTCTTCTGTTTTCTCCATATTAACTTTGAGTGCAAGTGAGCTGAGAAGTTCTGCTTGTTGCAGCAATGCGATAATCTTCGGGTCATCCTTCTTGAGAAATGTTCCTTCAACAATATTATCATTAGTTGCCTTTTATCAAGCTGAAAACACTTGCTAAATTTTCATCATCCAATCAATGCATTATGATTTCCACAACATAGTTTTTATTACAAAGAAGAAGCACTTGTGTACAATGCCGGTGCAATTTTTTTCCTGACCTGGCTTTCCAGCCAACATACAACCAACAATTCCAAGATTCTAACGTCAATGAAGTTTCTTGTATGGTGAATTACCATCTTTAGAGGCCTCTTCAGTTTTGGCATGAAGCTGAGTTCTTAAGGTGTTGATGTTATGGCAATTCTGCAAAAGGACAGCAAATGGAGGCCTTAGTTGCTGATCTGTAGTTCTAAAGGTCCCTGTCGATTCTTCTAGATTGCAGTTTTCTGTTGTATCAGGGATATGTTTCCTCCTGAATCAGGGTAGTGAATTTGATGTTAGGATTTGATCTTGATGTTCTATATGTGGGACTGAACATCTAGATCAAAAATACCTCGTCTTTGCAGGAGGCATTGAAGTTTCTAAATTTCTGTCTGCATCTTGTCCATTGTGAAACATGGCCCTTTTGTTGTTTGCTGTGATGTAAGAAGCGCTATTATCTTTTGCCAATGCTTCATTCTTTGCTCTCTTCTTACACAAGGTGGAGAAACGATTCTTAACGGCATTGTCCGTCCTTTTTTGAGGAAAGTTGTATCGCAATTTAGTTTTTCTTCGATACAAAATTGGCAATAAAATAGAATATCATTTACCTGCCTGAAACCACTTTTGCAATTTCAGTCCATCTGTTGCCAAAAATCTTCTGGGCCTGAAAACCATATTCCATATCAGATTACCTCGTTACTCGAGTTCAGAAAGAAAAAGAGAGCCTCAGTAGCATATATTATATGGTCTGCTAATAGTAGGGTACCATTGGATGACTGTTCACAAATCCTACAGAAAGAAACGGACACTGTGTATTGTATCACCACTACGCACCACGAAAAGTTTTCTAGGGTCCAAGCCACCATCAGGGATGGGCTCTTCTTACACTTTGCATATTAACCCGCTTTCCAACGGTAAATAGGTATATAGATATGTGTTCTACTTTATTTGCAACGACTATAGACTCGATGTAAATAGGTATATAGATATGTGTTCTACTTTATTTGCAACGACTATAGACTCGATATGAAGATTATGGTAATTTCCTGTTTGATGGAACGAGACTAACGACATCAGGCAGGATATAACTTTACCTCACAAAGGAGCATGTCTTCCTCCTGTGACCATCCTCCTTTTTTGAAATCAGAATTCAAATAAGTGAACCATCTGTATCATCAATATTACACCCAAATCCAGGTTTAGTAATATAACATAAAACAAAATAAATTTCCAATCTTGCAAGACAATAGATAGTACAAATACATGGTATATTTTCAATTTTTATAGAGCTCTATTTTTTACCTTCTTCTGCATTGCCTGGTAGTTTTATCCTTAAACTTGGATGCAACAACAGCCCAACTGCACATGACACCCATCAAATCTTAATATCCAAATAACCAATATTTTTTCAAATGATTTTACTAGAATCAAACCATCCAATATGAGATTTGAAGAAAAGAAATCATACTTGTCAGTTCCATGGATACCTATTTGCTCCCTCAATATATCATCCTCCTGAAACACAAACAACCATATTAAACAAGAAAAAGATCGTAACATACAATACCAGTTTCAAAACAGAGAGAAAACTTAATTTAGGGTGATCAAAAGAAACCTCTTGGGACCATGAAACTATATGTCTCTCTTTCTGCTTCTGAACTTCACCACCACCACCATCACCGTTATTGTTATTAGAACTACTAGTGCTATCACATGCTTTCTTCTTCATATTCTGCATCTTTCACCAACACCTCCTCTCTATCTCTCTCTCCTTTACCTAAAAAAACCTAGCCCTCGCATGCTAAAGTGATAAACTCTTTTGGGCTTTGGAGCTTATATGTGGGTGTATTTTGTTATATGTGTGTTATATAAAAAAATTAAATAAAAGATGAGCAAAAAGGAACCCCAAATTCTCCTCTTTTTAGGGCTAAGACTTTACAGGCTACTCTTTACTTCAAAGTTCAAACGGAACACCACACATACACACATAGAGAGCAAAACGTTATACGTCGAATTTGCCTCGGATTCGAAACTTTCTGATTGAATCAAAAGCAACCAACCGCCTTTGGTGCCCTAAAAACATATAGAATCCAAAAAATTAAAAGGATAAATTTGAAACTCAACAATCAACGTATTGATTAAAAAGAAGTTCAGAACTATATGAAGTGAGAAATCAAACAGGAACTAGATTGAAACCATACATACTAATACTAATACTAATACTAATACTAATGCCTACCTTTTTGTATTCGTATATCGCGAGAATCGAGAAAAGACGAGTCTCCGTAGATCTGAGGGAGTTTCCGCTTGATCTGCAAATATACAACAAGTGTATAGGATTGAAAGAGCAACTGTAGATATTGGAATTGATTTTGCAAAGAAATGGAATTATACCTGTAAATCGGTGTTTCTCTTTTTCTCTCTTAAGAAAAGTGTGGGTGGTGGTGGGGCTTGCGAGCGCGGGCATGAAGAGCAGTTTGAAAAATTGACGCTGAAATCCACGAAGGAGAGAGAAAATCTTGAAATAATCAATTGGATTTCAGTAAAATCTCCATTATTAATGGTGTGGTTATTGGTTTTTACGCTCCGAGATGATGATGATGGCGGAGGTGGAGGTGGAGGTGGTGCTGGTGGTTTTCATTTCACTTTCGCTTTCCCTTTCATGTGATTTCTGTAAATGTGATTCTTTTTTTTTTAAATAAAACGTATTTTATATTTATAAATACATTCATACCATATACGAAATTTTATGTGATTTTACATAAAAATCTCATGTAACATCACATATGTTTCATGCAATTTTATCAGCGACCTCGACCTGAGGTCAGCGATCAAATCACCTGCACATACTTGTGTTGGCCTTTAGTATAAAATCATATGTGATTTAATTGTTTTCAGATCACTTGCACATACATTGAGTTCTAACAGAATACTTAACTATTATCTTTATAAAATATCATATTATTAAATCATAATACTTAACTATTAGTGACATCTGCTTAGTCAATAGTCAAATTTACAGTTAGCTTTTACTTGCAGCAATGCTTAGTCAATAGTCAAATTATCGTTTGGCAAAATAGCTGACAGTTGATAAGCTATTTGATAATTGATAAGCTAACTGATGAACAAATCATGTTTGACAAAAGTAACTGATAAACATAAAAAAAATGACATCTTAAACATTGTTTGGCAAACACAAGTTAGCTTATTAGACAAACTCAATATCCTCAAATAGTTGCACTACCTCTTTAGTTGCTGCCCCCACTTGCTCATTAGCAATGACTACCACAAGAAAATATATTTTTTGAATTATCGTTTGAATGCACATAAGATAGCTTATTGATAAACTATTTATAGTAACTTATGAGGAGCTTTTTGACATTTTTTTTCCCAATTATAACCCTTATTAATAACTATAAATAAATAGTTATTCATGAATATTAATTTATAGTAATTAAAATAATTAGCTAATTCTAATTACATTATTAATTTAAATTCTA